TAGGCCTAACATAGGCCAACATAGGCCCAACATAGGCTCAACATGGGCCCACGATGTGCCCAACATACACCACATGGGCCCCACTTGGCCCAACCTAGGGCCAAGATGCGCACCAGATAGCTTAACTTTGCTCAATATAGGCCCCACCAAGGCCAACATAGGCGTGACATACGCCCCACACACCCAAGTGGGCCGGCGCCCGGCTGTTAGGCGTAAGCCTTGAAATAAAGAGATCATGAGCAAAAGAACACCAGAAGCAACCAACTGGACTGTGGGATGCAAGAAATTGGACTTGTCTGACGTGTGCTAACTTGGAAGACTGCATTCTCATCTTCGTCTGAACCGGACCTTCCAAAAGCCCTGCTTAAACTTTAAACGGAGCATGCCTTCCTGCACAAAGCACTGACGATCACGGTACTGAACAAAAACATTGATCAACTGGTTTGGGTCAAGAGATTGGAAGCGCTACTGCAAACAGGAGGGGGGATTCAAACATGATACTGGTTGGATTAAATGGGTTCCTACGGTGCTGGCATAGTCTCATTCAAAACAAGTTCTCCTGCAGCATGCTATCCGGAAACCAAACCAAATCTTGACGAGATAGTGAATGAATAGTGAGGAAAAACACAACGTCGCACTGATTTGGCTGTGTACAAAACAGCGACTATGCGACTACAGATTCCATCGTCCGCCCACGTCGCTCGATTCGTTCAATCGCCTGCTGCCAATTGGGCAGGTTCGTCATCACCTGATCAGATCACAGCGCCGTGCGTGGCGTGTGACATGTTCCCAAAGAAATAGCGTTATGCTCCGCAGCTAGGGAACCAATCTCACAAGGCCAGTTGACAAAATGCCAACATGCGGGTTTCTTGCTCTTAAAGTTAGACAAATGAACGCTGAGCCCGATCTGTCAATTTCCCATTGTTAGATTTGATGCTACCTGGTGTCCATTCTTCCAGAACATTTTGCAAACACTCCCAAGCTGAACCTTTTCAATGAATGACACCAAGCAGGGGTGCTCATTGTATGCGTAACTGGTTTTCTGTGATAAATGATTCCATCGATTGCACACCCAGTTCTATAGCACGATACCAAGTTGATTGGCCGCCTGACCCGCCAGCTTATGCCCTCAACTCTAAACGTATCAAAGCGAACTGTCACAGGAACATTTCTTAAGTTGTGATTTGCACATGGCTTGACCTGATTTGGGTACAAAACAAATGGCCGATGGCCCTTTTCGCAAAGCGGCTCTTCAATGGATCAGCTCGGTGGTACTTGAGTGTGTGAAAGGCCATCTGCAGCATTCTGGATTCTGGCTATCGCCAGTGCCAGTGCTCTCTTGATACCCGTGCCACCATGCAGTGCAAACACTACAATCTCCACTACGTGAGCAATCAGCTACACCTTGATTCAATTTGTGTCATGTTCTCTACACACTCCAAACCATTGAACTTCAGAGACAATAAACGGGGGGAGGTAGTGAAAGGTCCTGAAACACCCAGAGCCACCAGGCACAGAAGGCACAACAGCCTAGCTAGCAGCTAGCTTTTCTGCGCAGCACCGTGCTTGAACCCTTCGAGTCCGATCTCTGAGATGATTGGCTTGGTCCAAACAACCCCCGCCCAGGCGCTACATCCACGGTCAGGAGGTTCGGCGTGACCTGGTGTTCTCTGTGAGCATTGGAATCCACAACACATGAACCGGTCCACCTGTCCTCTGCCTAATCCGGGCTGGCAGGGACGTCTCACTGGCAGGGAATTGCCATTTCATCAGGTTTTCATGGTGAGTGGACAACCCTCAGTCCACACCAAGCCGGTATTTTGTTATATACTTTTATATATGTTGAACCCACCACATTTGAGATAAACAAACTTCATCAGCAAAGCAAAGTTGCTAGAATTTCTTGATTGAATCACAAGCAGGAACACCCACAATAGCACAACGAAAAGAACATTAACCAACCGCCTCCCCCAAGCCCCCCCTAATTTCTCAATTCCTTTGCCCAAAAGAGTTTTTCGTAATGGATTTTCGGATCGTGGATCCACTGCAGATATTGGGCATCACTACAGACTGTTGACCAGAGTCACCCACCCTAAAAAAAGGATGGAGATTTTCCGGACTTTTCAATTTTTCCAGATTTTTTCACATTTTTTCCCCTACTGTTTTTGCTTTTGCTTTTTGCTTTGGCTTCTGCTGGGAGTGCAAGGGCAGGGGACGAAGCGCCAAAGCCAGCGTGATGGAGAGTGAGAAAGGGACGGAAACTTTTTGCTTTGGCTTCTGCTGGGAGTGCTTTCCAAGCACTAGGAGCAGCAGAAAGGGACAGAAAGGGAGGGGACAGAAAAGGTATCCCACTCACTATACGGACTTCTTTGCGGTTGTCTTTGGGCTTCACTGGTTTCGGGTTTCTTTGCCACATCCTGCTCTAAATTTTACCCTCCAGTGGCTCACCAACGGGTGAGCCAACTTGGGAGGGCAACATCCTTCTCTAAATTTTACCCCTGCATGGCCCACAAAAGGG